AGAACCTCACCCTCCCTGTTCTGAGAGAAATCTGCTGCATCCGTGGATGTTTTATTGCCCTTGTCTAGCTTGGATTAACACATAGTCTACAGGCACACACCTGATCATCTACATTTGCTCTCTTACAACACTAAACTATGTTTTCTACCTTTATCTTGCATCTACCTACCACTTCAGCATTTTATTAAAAATAATAATGATAAGGGAGAATTGTGGGATTCACATATAAATCAAGTATAAAAATCAAACGAATAATCATATTTGACCTGATTGTTTATAGTTCATGATGCGTGATCAAATTCGAAAGTTTCTGTGATGACTGCCCTTGCACTGTTCACCATGTAAGAACTTATTCACTATGTAAGAATTTGTTCACCACGTAAGAACTTGCTCGTTATGCTTCAGAAGATTGGAAACTGTTGAGAATTAGGCTTGGGGTTGATTAATGATTGTGCATTGAGTCCCCTATACAGAATTTTATTGTTGTTAACAATCATATGATCAATAAATATGAGAGATGCCCTCTCAAAAAAAAAAACAAAAAAAAACATCGTGATCTTTGTATAGTGACAGATACAGGTGAGCATTTTATAATGTATATAATTGTCGAATCTCTATGTTTTACACCTGAAGTCAATATTGTATGTCAACTATATTTAGATAAAAATAAATAAATAAATATCTCATGGACCAAGAAGAAAAAAAAATGCATGCACCTGTAGAATCTTTAGGCGAAACTATCTAATTTAGTAAAATGAGCACAGACTGTAACCTAGTCAGACCTAGCAAAAGTGAGTACGCAATAAACATAAATAAAGGAATTGACTTGGATCTAGACCTCATGAACCCCAAGTAAATGTGTTTTAACCTCTGTGGACTAAAGAGATGTAAAATATATTAATATGTATCCATAGAATATGTATGCATTAATATGGCATGGAATTCAGGAAAAGTACAGACCAAACATTAAGACTGGTTTTTCCCTGAGTCACAGAAGCACAGGGGCCGGGTGCTATGCTACGAAAATAAATTAGAAGCACAGATACCAAGGCATTTACCATAAAGTACACTTGCACGAAGGAAAACATACAAATACATACTCCTGCCTATGTGGAGCCCTGACATTTTCACCAGAGGAAGGAAAGATACAATGTTCTCTTCACTTACAGAATTTACTCTTGCTGCTTTTTGATCTGCCAATGTTCCTCCTATCCTGATTGAATCCAAGATTTAGAGGGAAAGGGATAATAGTGTAGCATCTACTTACTTCTGATAGATATTAGATACCAGCTGCTTCCCATTAGTTAGCAAAGAATAAGCAGAAAGGTTGGAGAGATGAAAAGAACCTTGCTTCTAACTTTATGATCTTGAGATTCTCAAAAATTTAGCTGAAGTAAAATATATATATTCTTAAGATAAGTAGAATGGAGAATATTAAAATATGGTATTATTTAGATTATAAAGACATACTTAGAACATCTTAACTTAATACAATGTCTGTAAAGGGGCTAAAGAACAAATGAACTATCACCTTACTTACTTCTCCCAGCCATCTCATGACCCAAAACACACTCTTCATTATAAAACTTCTACATTGCTAACTAAAATGCATTACCCAAATTTGTAACAGAGTAGCCATGGAACTTCCAACATCAGATTTTGGTACACACTGACTAAGCAAATCTGAGCTTTGAATTCTGTTAAAATGACAACTGATATTAACTTAACTGATAAATTATAATCTTGTTATCCTTAGAAAAGTTTGATCATAAAACCAAAAGCATTTCTCTGGCTAATTAAATATTACTGGATTTTTATGACATTCAAATTAATTCAATGATACATTTAAAGTCCTGTAACTACGAGTAAATTTACCCATTTTAATTCATGAAATAATTGTCATTTAATATGATTTATGTTATAGTCACCCACAAAGGATAAAATTTCACTACATATATGATAATCTGGTTAGTGGCTAAGGACATGGGCTCTGAGCCCAGACTGTCTAGGTTCAAATCCCACTGTGCCATCTACCAATTTTGAAATCTTAGGCAAATTATAAACTCTCCTGCCTCAGTTTTCTCATCTATAGAATAAGGATAATGACAGTACTTACCCCTCATGTTGTTCTGAGAATTAGATGACTTAATAAATGTAAAATGCTTTGAACAATATTTGGCATACAATAAGCACTACATAAGTGTGAGGTGCTATAAATACCATTTTGTTAAAAATTCTAAGAGAAGCTAAAACTAGCTCCTTCTTTTTAAAAGAATGTTCACTTCATTATAGAGATGGCTTACGTGAAAAAAATTTCCACTTTTACAAAAACAAAGACTGCATTAAAGTATACAATGCAATTGCATTAAAATATAAAATATAGCTTCACATACCTGTTTGGAACACAAGTTCTTTCCCTCCTACACCTGCTGCCTCCAGGTTAATAAATGCACGAATCAAGCTGGCCCAGGGGTGCTGAGTAATGAAACCATGACTGGCCTGAACGAGAAAGGAAGAAATCAATACAGGTTAAACAATCTTAAATTATCAGTCTTTATTTTGCTTAAAGACAGAATATCTATGTTGATAAGGGAAGAATAGGAAAATAATCATTTTTTCAAAGGCTGTATCTAAAGATATCTGTTTCTCTCGTAATGCATAATGGCAGTGTGCATTTTGCTGAGTGGAAGTCACCATCACAGAAGGCAGCCTGCTTTCCATGAGTTGTGCCAAACAATACCCTACCAAGTGTGAGGCTGTGCAAAAGAAAGGGTAAAAAAACAGAAGGGAAATGCTTATGGTTGGGACTCGTGCTATGCACCTGCCTCAAAACATCTCTGAAACTCCAGTGTAAAAGAAAACCTGAGATAAACCACAGAACCCTTTTATGAATCAAACACTGACAAGATGATCTGTTTGAACATATGTACATATTTTAAGTACCACCAGGGACTATATTTCTTCTGCACATCATTTTATACTACTACTCCAATGAATAATTAAAATGCGTGCTAGCTATTACTATTATTATTATTATTATGTTCATTATAATCATTACTCTAACCTACTATGTAAAACTGTAAAATCTCACTTGCAAGACATTTTCTTCAGCACCGTTAAAGAGAAATATGACAGCATGATGTAAGACTTCTGAAGATGTTGACAAGACACGGAGGACTTCCAGCATCACTGAACAGCTGACTGCATCATCACTGGCTCCTTTAAATCAGAAAAACAGATTTGCTTCTTGGATTTTAAAACCTTTACAGTATGAACCATCATGGCTAGGAATGAGGTTTTCTCATCAAGAAAGCATCAAAGGAGCTGCAAGACCAGATGCATGGCTCTGCCAGCCCACCAGCAGTAACTTCATGAGGGCATGGATCTTTGGTTTTCCAGCTAACTTACTTTCAATGTCTAGAACCATGCCAAGCCCACAGTAGTAATTCAATTAATATCTGTTGAATAATCAACCAGACAGGACCTCAATCGATACCAGAAACTGGCATTCTTATCAACTCACAGCAATTTGTTCCTATTCTTTACCCTTATTCCACATCCTCTGTAACATGTTCATTTATGGCGTTCACAGCTTCCTGTATCATCTCCCACTGCCACCCACTCCTTTACTGCAAAAATCATAAAAACTGCAGATCACTCCACGTTTAAAGAGGGGTCAGTTTGGAAGGTATAGCATTTTTTAGGTTTTCTTCAAGAAGGTCATGTGATGAAAAACTACAGAGAAGACTCCAGATCTAATAACTTAAGTGGTATCCCTGGTCGTGGCAATCATACAGAGGATGCCTCATCAAATCACATAATTTCTTCTTGATTCAGAAACTTTATGTATTAATTAAAGGGAATTATAAAGATGACTTCAGTGACTTGATTTTTTTAAAAACATTGTTTAAGGGGTAGTTAAAGGAACTGATTGGATACTTGCCATTAAGTTTTTTAAATGAGGTAATTCATAACATTATAAGAATGTCAATTTAGTGACACAGACTGAAATAGAGAAACCTGCTGAGATCTGCTTCAAAATAATCCAGGGTTACAGGGGTAGGGGTAAAGGAAAAAGAACAGATTGTCAAAGCTGGGTGGCAGGTATACTCAGGTACATTAAACAATTGTTTTGTACATATTTGAAATTTTCCACACTAAAAAGTTTATAGAGTAATCAAAATAAATAGGCACAATAATGATCCAGGCAATAGCTTCTGGGTTTACCCTCTGGAAGGCAGCGTGGTACAATGTAGCATGGATTTCAGAGTAAGAAAGATTTGGGAGTCAATTCTGGCTCTGTCATTTACCCTACAACCTCCTGGTCTAGAGGGCAGGCTAATGTTATTCAACTGAGGCATGCTGTGAGGCTGACAAGATAATGTGGTCTACACTCAATGTCAGTTTTTCCTTCTCTTTGCAAACCTAAGGCTCCACAGCTGAAGCGTTTGCTTTGGCACGGTTAAATTCCAGACCCCGTTCCTGCTCACAAAGAAACTGTACGTATTAGCTATACTTGTCCTGTTAGTGGTTACTGAATTGTACCTTAATCCAGGTGAAACAAAGTAATAATTATCTAATTACTATTAGGAGGAAGTACATGCAGCTATCAGTAAAAAGTGCCACCTTTCAGAAACCAAATGTAATTCACAGTTTTAACTTTGAGACTCCGAGTTACTTTAAATAAAAAGCAAACAATAATAAAGTTCTTCATTCAAAGTAAGAGAAAAGGAAATTGATATTTATCTATATAGGATTGATCAAAAAGCTGAATTGTCCATTTATCTTTATTTTAATGGTTCTTGTGTCTGAGAACAGAACTAGAGAAGGGTTAAATATCTTCAAGAAAGTTAGAAGACAGCACCCATAAGGACTGAGTGGTTAACCGACATCCCTTTCACTTGGAATTAACTCTGAAATTGAAAACACCTCTAAAATAACTCAACATCTCTTTTACCAACAACCTGGAACCATGAAGCAAACCCAGGAAGATACTTAAGGCTTTTCTGTAGGTAACATTACTCCTAATTGGTATCAGCTACTCATAACTGGCTGAGAAGAACTTTTAAAAAACACCCATGTTTCAATTAGTTCATCCATTAAAAGGATTTAAGTGATAGTCTACTTTATAAGTGTGTTTTTTTTAACGATTTTTAACAATTTTAGAGAGAAATGTCCTTGAGATTGTTGGTATACATATTCTTATAAAATTTTAGTTAAAAATGGGTTCCAATGACCCACCAAAATGCCATCCTTTTATTACTGGACTCCATATACACGATTTATAGCATTTGGCATTATGTTTCTGATGCTTGTATACATGTGTTTCTTATATAATGCTCTTAATAAATAATCATGGTGTTAATTTGTCCCTTCCTAAAATTTAACATAATTCTGAATGTAGGGTAACATTTGATTACTGCTTTGAAATAGACACAAAAGACCAGTGGGTTTCCCTAGCTCACACAAAGGTATTTCTGACTTTATAAAATAGAAGTGTGTATACTGATTTCTCAAAAAGCATATTACATTCTAAATGCAATTTGGCAAGTGTGGGAAAAATGGAAGTTCCTTTGGCGAGTATCCTCACCTGACCCTAAAGTACGTGACTATGTAACTGGCCTGATGCTAGGCTACTGCTTCCACATCCTAGGTAATGAGCTATTATTGACTGAGTCACTATATGAAGAGATCTGCCCCATGTGCTGGGCAGAGGCAGAGACGGAGATGGATGACGGCCTGCAGACTGCTGGATGTGATTCTACTGCTTGACCTACTACCATGAGAATAAAGCTGGGTATAAACCATTTTAACCCAAGAACGTTCTGTTGTTATTTCTCAATCTCACCAAATCCACAGTGAACTTGCCCAGGGCTGAAACCTTCAGACAAGACAGCAAGCCTTCTGATTAAAGATATCCTAGTATGCATCATTTCATCAAGGAAACAAGTTTTATTTTGTATTTTGTATAACTCTAGATGTTTATATTATAAATTAAAGCAATCCAGAAATATTAAATAACAAATAGAAAAAATAAAAGGAATTTTTAATGCCAGGCATTATTCATGTGTTTTACTTGTATTTAATCCTCCATGCAATGTCAGTAAGAAAATACTATTATTATCCCCATTTTACAGATCAGAAACTTAACAAACAGGTTAAGTAGTTTGCCAAAGGCAGCAATAACTGCACTCTAGTACTCTCTCCTTCCTTTCAGGGTGTAGCTGCAAGAACTGACAGGCCAGGAAACCCAAAATCTGGTCCCACCTGTTTGTGATCATGTAAGTTTATGCATGTGTCAACAGAACCAGATGCCATCTCATGTCTTGTCTACCTCTAACATGCTATGATTCCATTGTAAAATACTGCTGTTTTCTATTCTTCCCTAATTACAATTTATTTAACTACTGAAAACATTTCTCTGATGAATCTTATTTTTATAAATGGGAGTTCAATTCAGGAGATTCTCATTCAACAGATATTTATTGTGTCAGGCACTGTCCTACACATCAAGTATTCTACTTTGCCCAAGTTTTCAGAGCAAAATTTATGAATTGATGAGGTACTCTATAGTATGGCAGCTCCAGTGGACCCAAGTTGTCACTTTACAGGTCAAAACTGCTAGGAGAGATGTCCTTCAAACCCTGCATGCCTTGAGCACAAGAACCCTTCCTTTTTCCCCTTATATCCCCCAAGCCTAGTATACCACCTAGTTGAGTAAATACCTGAAGTGACAGAAGTCAACCCCAGGACTTGGGGACACATACTGGTAACACTGATAAAGAAAGAGTCTATGTCCTGTCACTGGGCTCCTGGCCTCATGTTTAAAAAATAAAGTACCTGAGAGACTAGTAAGGGGTTAGATCTTAAAATAAATGATATTATTCTAATTACCCTGTCTTTCATCACAATGAAAATAGGTTTGTTCAAGAAAACGGTGCCCCACAACTGTCCAAGCAGCTTGGAGTTACGCTTTCTGGGCTCTGACAACTTCAAAATGACAAAAAATCAAGTACGTACCTGGTGAGTTGGCAACTGAGTCAAAATGACAATTAGCCAGAACAGCATGCCGGGCCCCTCCTCTGGGTTCCAGCTTCACCACGACATTGGTGATGTTGTCATAGTAGCTCGTAAAGCCTCCCAAGAAGTCAATGCTAAAGGAGCCTGTGGGCCGCTGTACATTTACTGAAATCTTGTGAAGGCTGTTGCTTTGAACTTCAATCAGTTTAATCTGTTCCAAAAGGTAATGCACCGTCAGAATTTCATTTTCTGGACTTCCGGTAGTCCTGGGACCAATGGATGTTATATGTTCAAGATAATCTCTGGAAGCCACCAAAAGAATAATGATGACAAGGTGTGCTAGGCTTAAAATTAACATTTATCCACTGAGCAACTTTTCCTATACACTCTCACTCCTTTAAGAACAAGTTGACTTCTCATATAAAAAAAAAACTGTCTTATTATTTCTAGTGCTCTGTGAAAAATGGCTTGTAAAGTTCCATCATCTTATTTTGCCTCACATGAGTTCATCGCTTCAGTTTTCTCCACACACACCAAGTTCTCCCAAGCCCCCATGTCAAACGAATACAAAGACTAGGGATCCTATTCAAAATTCGTTAACTGCTTAAGCCTAGACAGGATAGAATACAACTTCAGAGTTACCGATTCTACGTTACTGATTCTAAGCAGCAGAAACCAATGCGCAAAGACAATTAAGTCGAGAGGTTAAATAAGCAACGAAAAACTTCTGATTGTGAAGAATGAACTCAGCCCTCCTACTGTGCACACAAAGCCTAATAAACTTCAGTTCAGACCGAAACCAACTCTACCCCTAAAACAAACAAAAAGAGTTTTGTCTTTTCACTGCATTCCAAGTGGGAAAAAAGAGAGTGGGGGAGGTGTGTTCCAGAAAGTCCTTAAGAAGCTTCCAACATGTTACACTGAAAAGTCTTTTAAAAACAGTGGCTGTTAAAAACTCCGGTAGCTTAGGATTTATGAGATCTGATACACCTAGGCTTCAACACCTTTGACTTAATCACCTTTGATGGCACACTCAAGTTTTTTTTTGTTTTTTGTTTTGTTTTTTTTTTAACTAAAAAGAGTCAGACCTTACACAGGAGACCATGGACAAAGCTCTGAGAACTTCTGAAATTGTTAAAGTTTGAATGTACAGTCTTGCAGGGAGAGCCTCCATAGTTTTAACGTTTGAGGGCTGTGCCTCTCAAAAAGGTACGCAACTGCATTATCTCCCTTAGACCAAATTTATATCGCCCAAAAAATCAAATTTATGAAAACCATTAGGTACACAAATTTCACTAGCCTTCATTTCATCTGGAAAGCAGGAAGGCTAGTAAAAGGTGGAAGGTGCTCCAGAAGATGGAGAACGACTAAACAACCACGTGCAGGTGGGTCAGAAAGGGGATGGAAAGCAGACGCAAACTCCCTGGCCATCCCCGTCTGCACCACGAGCTGAACAGGGGAACATGCAATACTCGCACCTTGTAAATCAGGACTCCTGAAGAGAATCGCGCAAGACCGCCCCACCCCACGTGCAGCCGGGCGACGCCGGCGGAGCCCGGACGGTCCCGCAAGGACAGGGGCACACGGGTGCGGAGCCCGGTATCTGGGGCCGCGTGGAAACGGCAGGTACCTGGCCTGACGCGCGTCGAACTCCGCGTGGTCCTCGGCGGCGCCGCGCAGCACAAGCTGCTGCAGCGAGAGCTGCACGAGCGCCCGCAGCGCGAGCAGGTAGAACGCTAGTCCCAGCGCGGCGCGCGCCTCGGACAATCCGGTCCTGGCGGCGCGGCTCCCCGCCGCGCTCCGCTTCCGCGTCCCCGCGCCGCCGCCGCACGCGTCCACCAAGGGCTCCTGCTCCGGGGCCTGCCTCCCCGGCGGCGCCCCCGCCGATGGGCCATCCCGGCGCTCCCCTCCGACGCGGTGCCGCCTCACGGCCGCGGACTCCGAGCCCCACTCCATGGCCACGAGCCCCAGCAGCCAGCCCAACAGCTCCAGCCCGCGGCAACGCGGGGAGAAGCTGCGGCCGCCGCAGCGCCGCCTAGTGCGCGGACGGAAACTGCAGAGGGCCAAACTTCTGATTGGCCCGTCCTGCCGCCCAGCCACCCGGCCTCTGGGTAATCACCAGTCGGCGCCGCGCAGAACCAGCGCGGGCTGGGCACAACGGGTGTGTGTCCTGCAGGGCAGTCCCTGCTTAGGTGGGGAACGGAGATTCAGAATGGGAAGATACCCATAAATCTAGAAAACGTAAGAAAAGTGAGAGATTGCTCTTAAAAGAATGCACTTTGTGCACCAGGCAGATGGGGAAGGCAATGAATGACCCAGCTTTCAGAAGGAGTATTAGAACAGTCTCTGTAAAAAGATTGTTGGCCCTTAAATCTAGAAATAGGACTGCGCAAGAGAGGCCCAGCCTCATGATTACACAAAATCTAATCACTGATCTTCATAACCGTGTGGGTTAACCAGCTCTACACTGTCTGCACCTAACAGATGGAGAAAAATAATAGCTATTATTTACTGAATACCTGCCATGAGTGAGGCACTGGCCTAAGTACTTTAATACATTATCTCATTTGATTCTTGCAAGAATCCTGAAAAGGAAATTTTGTTTCCCCACTTATTAGCTAAGAAACTTACAGGTAACAAATTAAGAACCTAAATCTAATTTAGTGGGCTCCCCCAAACAGCATTCTGTTCCACTAGTGAATATGGTTCAGAAAAGCTTTTCCTCCCTCCGCGTCACCCTGGAGGCAGTCTTGGACTTAGTGTAAATCCTAGTGATCACCTGGCCTTCCTGCCTGCCGATGCAGTGAGCCTCTCTGCTTCAAGACACTGTGTCTCCAGCATGGAGTTGCCTCAGTACCAGGACTGTTAACCTAGAGCTCAGCTGGGAAGATGCGCTGCCTTACCAGCCTGCCTACTGCCCAAGTCCACGTGACACCAGGTGCTCCCAGTTCCCAGCTCTCCAGCTACACTGGCCTCTTTCAAAGTCCGTCTATAATAGGATCTCACCACACGCGGTTTGAGTTGCCTGGAATATTCTTCCCTCCCCTCATTGCCTAATTAACTCCTATTCATTCTTCAAAGCCCAACTTAAGTGGCACTTTTTCAAGGAAGAATCTAATCTAATAAAGCCAGTTTCCCCTACTTGTAGGATCCCATAGTGCCATGTATGCATGTAATTATTTAATATCTTCCTCATTAGGCTGTAAGCTCCATGAAGAATCATGTCTGGTTTTGCTCACCATTTTATTACCTTCTCTTAATATAAAGTATGACATGTAGGATGTATTCAATAAGTATTTCCTGGCTGAGTGAATAAATGAAAACAATTTTATGGCAGCAGCATAATTTCAGCTCTTGAATATCCTTTTTAATCTGTAAGGCCCATAAGACCAAAGACAATATTTATCTTATTTACTTACCAGTATAACCCTAGCCCATGGTTGTCACTCAGTACATATTTATTGAATGAGAAAAATGAATATATATTGTCTTTTATCAGAAGCAGCTGTCTGCTATTCTCTTCCCAAAAAACTCTAGTGCCTCCTCATCTTTGGAAGATAAGACCTCAGAGCCCATTTGTCCACCACAGCATGACAAGTGGAAGAGCCTCTAGTTCCTAGGGGAAGGACACAAATGTCTCATGATCTTTTAAATTTTACTTATTTTATGCTGCCACTTGCTGCCCAAAAACCTAGCAGTAAGTTGCACCTCTTAGGAGCTGTGTTACTGGTTATGTCATTTGAGCTCTCTTTCTCTGAATGGATAATGTATGGTAAGCATCTCTGACAGTATTCCGTGGGAGGCAGTGTACCATAGTAGGAAAAAAGCCTGGCTGTTGGAATCAGAATTCTGAGTCCCTAAATCATGTATGGCCACTGCACAAGGCATTAGGCAAGTTACCGTCTCAGAGTCTCAATGTCTTTATCTATGATAATGGAGATAATGCCTGCCTTAAAGGGCTCCAAAGAGGATTAATCAGCTAATACATGTGAAAACTCCTCACACACAAATCTCATTAAGTACTCCTTCCAGAATTTTCATTCTAATACAATCCTTTACAGATTGGATTAAAAGTCATTTTCTTGTCATAATAATCATAAAGGCCTAGATGATGAAAGCTTAGTTATAGTTAGGGTCCCAGAAGGCAGTTTTTCTCTAGACTTATATAAACTATGGTATTCATATTTGAATGTTTTTAAGTTACCAGTTGTTGGATATCTATTCTATGTCAGATACTGATCAAAGTGGGGAAACATAGAAAAGAGCAAATCAATCTTTCTGCCTTCATAGAACTTACGTTCTAGCGTTCTAGTTGGGAAATAATAAACGTGTGTGTGTGTGTGTGTGTGTGTGTGTGTGTGTGTGTGATTAAGATGTTAAAGTGAAATGAAGAAAAATAAGGCAGAGTATGGAGAGTGACTGAGGCTGCTGTTTTAAATAGGGTAATCAAGGAAGCTTTCTCTGAGGAAATTACATTTGAGGTGACCTGAATGAAGCAAAGAATGGGGCCATAATAGCCTGAGAAGAGAAAGTTTCAGGCAAAGGAAAATGAACTGTGATATTCAAGAGGCAACACTGAGTGGGGCCTTTGGCTAAAGCAGACGTAGCAAAGGGGCAGTGATAGATGGAAGTTCACAGAAGCAGGTAGGCGCCAGTGCAAGAACAGCCTACTGGGTCACAGCAAGGACTCTGGGGTGGTTCTGAGCCACAAAAGTTCATATTCTAAATTATGTTTATGATATTGCTCAGAGTCTCAGTGCTGGGCAGAGCAGCCCCATCACCAAACCTAGATCACAGAGGCTAATGAAAGTTTTCTAATGTCTGGTCTTTGGAGTATTTGAGGCCATTAATCTGTGGTATGTTTTGTGTGGGAAGTAGACCACAGAGAATTGAAACACATACTCCAGTTCCCACATATCAAATTGCTAATGTGGTTGGAACAAAATGTAAAAGGCATCAGTTGGCCCATCTGGTGAGCTATTGATCACTGAGGTTGATTCAATTCATCTGGCTTGGCAAACAGTTATGTCTTTCTTGTGTGTCCCCTTATGACAAAGTAAGGGCTAGACAAACCAACAGGCAGAGAGATGTCCCAAGTTCCTTCCATTTTGCAGTCTCTCCAGTATTTCCTAGTAACATGGCTAAGGTGAATGGAAGAGCATGCAAGCTGTCAGGATTCAGGCTAACTGCCCAACTGTCTTCCACAGAGATTGGAAGCCTGTGTCTATGTGCTTCCTTCCTTGGAAGAGGGGCTGCTAGGGAACTTGGTGAAAGTTCTCTGGGACTGAGGTTGGCAGAACGATGCCTTTTACCTCATGTTACAGTGACATTAAAATCAAGGGAGTTGTTAAGTTCAAGAGGCAACCCAAACCAGTTGTGGAAAACACTGAGACATATAAAATTGGGTCTTCTGGGGGAAAAAAAAAATCAAATTGTAATCTCACACCGTATTACACAACAAACAAAACAAGAAAACAAGTAGAATTCAGAATTAAACATAAGTAACTTTTTAACTGACAAGAAAAAACATAAGCATAATTAAATAGTTAATATCAAAATGATTGAGATAATTTTAATCAAAAAAGAAGTGGAAGAAATCATAAAAGGAAAAATCATGTTGACTGCATAGAATTGAAAACTTCTATATGTTATAAATAGTCACCAAAAAAATGAAAAGTCAAATGACAAACTTGAAACATTGTTTTAAACAAATTTTTTAAATAAGGGACTAGTATACTTTATATTCTCTGTCTCCTCATTCTGTGTCTCTTTTGTGATAGATTTAATTTATATATTTAGATTTACCATATATTTTATATAACATATATATTAAAAATCAGTAAGAAAAATAGCAATGCCTCAATAGAAAAATATGTAAACCATTCATCCTTTGTATCAAAGGAACATATGTAAAAATGTGGACTTTTAACTTACCACGATGAGAAAGTTTTTTGTGTTTTGTGTTTAATTATAATACACACTGCTGGCAAAAGCTTAACTGATAAGCACTCTTATGTGATACAGGTGGGATACATATCAGAATGCCATTCTGGAAAGCAATTTGGCACCATGTACCAGGAGCCTTACAAGAATTCACATTTCTTGATACAGTATTTTCAGAAGTAGGAATCTATTGAAGGTAGGATAAAATAAAAAAGAGAGAAGAAAAGAAAAATGCAAAAGAATGATGATCTATAACATCAAATATGTGGAAATTACGTTGACATATAAAAAGAAAGGTCATATAAATTTCAGAATATCCAGAGTGTAAAACACCATGTAGGAAGTCTATTCTCATAATATTACATTACGAGAATACTGCAAGAAAGAAAAAAATAAAGATACAAAATTGAATAACGAATATAGTGTCAGAATATTGAATATGTGAAAGGAAATACACTGATACAATGACAATGGTTAAAAAATGTGGGTGATTTTTTTCTTGTTTATTCATTTCTCTGTCTTCCACCTTTTCTCTGAGCTGTGTTCCCTTTAAAAGCCTGGAGCTATGAGGTCAGGCTCTTCAGCCATTTGCCCAGGAAGGCACTAAAAATCTGTCACATTTTAACCCTTAGGAAAGCAGTTTATAAATTGATTCCAATGTGCATGTGCTCCAACAGGGGAACGCAATGTCCAAACCTCATCTCTGGTCCTTGTCCTCAAGTACATTTCTAGACAAAGTTTATGGTAAAGATTCAGCAATTAATGAATTGCTGAATCAATAAAAAAAATTCTGAGAGAATTTTCACTTACTTATCAGTCTTTAAATTCAGCCTGTGACAGGAGAATTGGTGCATATACTTTTAAATGGCTTTGGATTTTGAATTTCCTTTTCCCTCTTTTCCCTTGTATTAGAGGGAAAGCATCCAGAACGCCAAATCTCTAGGGATTTATTTGCTGGCCACAAACCCTGGGCATTGTTTGCATTTCTCCCTAGGCTGTAGGGGCAGGTGAAGCAGGACAGAGGGGTGTGACTCAGCAGTCTGGGGAGCTGGATGGAGCTGACTCACTGGGCAAGCTCATTTTAGTCTACAAACAAGTTAATAAG